GCATTGTATGCCGAGCATAGCAAGAATTGAGACTCAAGCGTAGTTAGAACTTTTTTTGGAATATGAACTTCTCTAGCGTCTGGGTTCCACATATTTGGATGTAAAGAGCTCTCAGGTGTCCCTGCCTGGGGGCTAGACCACTTGCGTTCCAGGCTGGATGCCACCACTTGTTAGAGCTTTATGAGTTTGACCGACTTCTTGAAATTACTAATTTTTTGATAGTGCTGCTTGCCAAACCATGAAGAACTCAACGAAGACAGTGGCAGTGGGAATTAAAGGAGTTCTCTAAAAAAGGCGCTTAAGATTAAAGGTAAGCCTTGAAGACAGGCATATAAATGGGTGAGAGAGTAGTAGTTTGAATATACAAATAAACTATGGTGATTTGCAAAACAAAGGAGAAACACAGTTCAGGGGAAGATAATTCCTCTTTAGATAAAGTGCGTTTATCCCAAGGGGATATTTACTTGGAGGTAAAGGTCCCAAACTCAGGTAAGAAAGAGGTCAAAAACAGAGATGTAGATTTGGGAGTTATCAACATACAGAGATTAAATGGCCCTGGAAAATTATATAAAACAAGAAAGAAGACCACTAAAGACAACTGGAATGATTGATTACTAACACAGTTTGAATCTACTTTCTATAAATGTTGCCAACAAAAGCTTATTGCAGGAGCGGGGTGTAATGTGGAGGGTGTCAATGGGACCGGGGAGAGGGGAATATGTATAATACTTTTACCAATAAGATAAGGTGTTTTTAAAAAGTATATTGCAGTGTATAAACAGGAGACCATAAGCCAGCAGGACACTCAGAGAAAACTTCCCTCAATTTTACTGTTTTATAGGGTTGATTACAATAAAACAAACCCTCTTTTTTATCAAACCCTTTTTTTTCAGAATCACTGCTTTAATTTTTGCCTTTTTACTGAATTTATTGGGGTGACACTGGTTAACAAAATTTACAGGTTTCAGATGCATAGTTCCACAACACATCACCTGTACAGTGTATTGTGCATTCACCACCCCAAGTCAAGTCTTCATCCATCACCATTTATCACCCCCTATAGTCTCCTCCACCTCCCCCCACCCCGGCAAACTCTAGAGTTACATTTGTCGGTCTTGAACATTCATGTTTATAATCATTTGTTAATTTGCCCATTCAGTCCTAATATTTTCTGAAGCTGTCTTTGTTGTCTCAATCCTTTTAAAAAATATTTTTATTGATTTTTAGAGAGAGAGGAAGGAGGAAGAGACAGAAACGTCAATGATGAGAGAGAATCATCGATTGGCTGCCTCCTACACACCCCCTATTGGGAATGGTGCCTGCAAACCAGGCATGTGCCCTAATCAGAAATCAAACCCTCTTGGTTCCGGGGTCGATGCTCAACCACTGACCCACACCAGCCAGGCTGTCTCAATCTTTTTAATTACCTAAAACTCCAAGTAATGTTTTTATCTATTTGCCCTGGAAATCTTGACAACTATTTGACAGTATGTGCCTGCTAACCTAAAATAAACATATGCTTTTATCAATAAATATTTGAGTTACTATACAGTAAATTATTTGGCATAACACAAATAGATCATCTTCTGTAGCAAATGTAGTCTCTCCAACAACCTAATCAACCTCTACTTATCTTCTCAAACTAGTCCCAACACAGAGCTCTGAATTCCCCCAAACTCCAGACAAACACCCTGCCATTAAGTCCCTTTTCCATGTATAGAAAGGCCATCCCAATTTTCTTCTTATGCCAAGTTTCAGTTCAAGAATTATGTAAAACTTTCCCAGTTCTATAAGCATTTACTAAATGCCTTCTCAACCATTCCATTTTCAATAAAAGTTATTAATTCTGAAAAGCTGTTTTGTATGATCCATTAATAGTTGTATCAAATCTCCAGTGATTTCAGTATATCTGATAAAAATATCATATGTAATAGTTTTAGGAAAAGAAAGAAAAATAGATCATTTTGACTTCAACCTATTGTTGTATATAATACGTTGGATACAGAGTACATATATAATATTGAAGATATAGGAAAGAATTATTTTGCAACTAAGAAAATAATCACCTATTAGTACATTTAAACCAAAAGCTATCTGTATTCTCAGATGTTTTTTAATGTGTCTTGAAAGTCTTTGTGCAAAATGGAAAGAAATTTGTATTTCCTTGATGAGGATGTTTATAGAGACTGCAAAGAGGTTTCTTCTGAAATGCAAACTATTTGCTTTCCAATATTACCTCCTGTCATCATGGACTGGAATGCAGCTAGAAAGAAAAAAAAAACACTAAGTTATCTCAAAATATAAATGTCACTATCATACATATCTTTTGGTAGGTCAAACACAAGTAATTTGAAAAATTACTTCAATGATTTTAATATTAAGTATAGAAGAAAATTATCATCAAAAGAAACTTCACATATACACTGGCAAAGTTACAGGGTAAACTAACCCAATCAGCATCTTAAAAATTGGATTTACCCACCAGGCTGGTGTGGCTCAGTGGTTGAGTGTAGACCTATGAACCAGGAGGTCACGGTTCAGTTCCCGGTCAGGGCACATGCCTGGGTTTCAGGCTCAATCCCCAATGTGGGGCGTGCAGGAGGCAGCCAGTCAATTGATACTCTCTCATCATTGATGTTTCTATCTCTCCCTCCCTCTCTCTTCCTCTCTGAAATAAATAAAAATAGATTTAAAAAATTTTTTTTACCCAAACTAGAAATGTTTAATTGGTGTCTATATCGACACTCATGGCTTACAGTCTGAAAACTAGAGGCAAGTAAGTTTGAAGGTAAAATATCAGCAAAACAAATCCTATATAATAAAAGGCTAATATGCAAATCGACCAAACGGCAGAATGACCAGTCACTATGCCGCAAACTGACCATTAGGGGGCAGACGCTCAATGCAGGAGCTGCCCCCTGGTGGTCAGTGCACTCCTACAGGGGGAGCGCTGCTCAGCCAGAAGCCGGGCTCACGGCTGGTGAGCACAGCGGTGGTGGTAGGAGCCTCTCCCACCTCTGCAGCTACGCTAAGGAATGTCCAACTGACGGCAGGGAGCAGGCCTAAGCCATCAGTCACACATCCCCTGAGGGCTCCTGGACTGCAAGAGGGTGCAGGCCGGGCTGAGGGACCCCTCCCCCCTGAGTGCACAAATTTCATGCACCAGGCCTCTAGTTTCTAAATAACAGTTAAAATGTCAGAAATCTAATCACAAAGCTTTACTAAGTGAAATACACATTATGCCAGAAAAATAAGTGAAATTATATTTCTGTTTGGTAAACTTAGTAACCAAATACATTAAATTTTTTTCTGAGAAAGAAAAAAAGTTGTTTGATTAATCCCTTTTATTTTTAAAAAATATGTTTTTATTGATTTCCCTACTGGGATTTGAGCCCACAACCTGTGACCTCCCCATTCATAGATTGACACCCAACCACTGAACCACACCAGCCGAGCTAATCCTTTCTATTTAAAACAAACAAAAGAACCAGCAGCGAGTTGAGCATTGACCTATGAACCAGGAGGTCATATTTTGATTCTGGTCAGGGGATATGCCCGGGTTGTGGGCTCGATCCTCAGTGCAGGGCTTGAACCCCAGCTTCCTCATCACAGTTCCCTCGGGGGCCTAAGCCTTTAGTCAGACATCCCCCAAGGCTCCCTGGCTGCCAGAAGGATGTCTGACTGCAAGCTTAGGCCTGATCCCCCTGGGAGTGGGCCTAAGTTGACAGGTGGACATCCCCCAAAGGGTCCTGGACTGCAAATGGGCGCAGGCCGGGCTGAGGAACCCCCCCTCCCCTGAATGCACAAATTTTTGTGCACCAGGCCTCTAGTATATAATAAATCTACATTCATCTTACCTCCCATGTTTTCTAATCCATTTGTCATAGTTTCTTTAATCTGTAAATCAAAATAGCTATACTTAGTATTCTTTAGACTTCAATGTTTCTACTTAATAGTTTTTATGTTTGCAAAAGACAGCAATACTGTTAAGCACTTTCTGTCTAAAAATAGATATTCTTAATTTCATGTAGGTAACCCAAAAAGGTTTCCTATCAATTAACTTTTTAAAATAAAATCCTATTTTCCCATTGTCTAATCTTCCACTGGTAACAGCACAAGCTGTATACCCTCTTTTCCAAAAGTACATAAGCACACACACATAAACTTTGCCTATCATTTGCAGGTTTTAAGAACATGCTAGGTCAGGGTCTCTGGACCCAAGATTAATAACTCCTGATTTTAAAGCAAAAAGAAGAGATATGTCCTGGGAGGGCAGGAGAGACATATGGTAGTGAGAGTGGGGGTACTAGGCGGTGCTTATAAGATTTTTGAGAAAGCACAGCTTCTAACACATGTAGAATTCCATATTAATATTTGTTAAATTAATGAGTATTAAAATTTAGGAAGGAAAATCTATTTATCTTACAACATAATCTAAGAAAAGTATAAGGTTAATAAAATTTCAGGTAAAGGGAATAATAAGAAAGGGCTTCTCAACCAGGAGGTTATATCGCCTGGGAGGCAAAGTTAATTTATAATATCCAGTACACTTCCCTTTTGTAGGAATTTTTATTATAAAACTAGTACATAAATTCAAAAGCATGTCAAATAGCAGGAAGAATGCTATTGATAAAGAATAGAAGCAAATTCTACCTTTAGCTTTCCTTCTTTAAACCATTGACTCAGCTGTAGAATACCAGACTCAAATTTGTCCTTATAATTTAACACCATAAATCTTTCTCTGTATTGGGAAAGAAGAGAATAATGATCAGAGACCAGTGGGGGAATAAAAGAGTCCAAAATGAAATCATTCCAGAACTCTATTATCCATTAATCTTTCACCGTTAAGACTTAATCACAGAGTCTGGCCAGATACAGTTTTAGGTGTAGAGACAGGGTAAGTGCAGTGGAGTTCTATTGTTTTGTCTACCCAGCATTTACGACCCCGTTTGGTAATAGCTCTACGATTTTACTTTGTGGGTAACATCCTTTCCCTACCCTCTGTGACCAAATCCAAGCCAGTGTGAGCCATAAAGTATCAGCGTTGGGACTTGATAAAACTGCGAGAAGAAAGCTGTCCTCTTTTTGCTTGGATTGCTAACCTGGTAAAATGTAGGACTAGAAATAACAGCCATCCTCCTGCTGCTGCAAGAGGAGAGCCTGGGAGGGAGCACAGCCCAGAGGTGGAGAAAAACAGTCGTGATGCCACTATACAAACCCTTTATCCAGCCAGAGCTCAGCCAGTACTGTACTAATATTGGACCTCTCAATGCATGAGCCAATAAATTTCCTTTGTACTTAAGCCAATGTGATTGAGTTTCTATTACTTGTAAAAGATTTATAGAACAGATGCAATTTTTTAAAAGTTTTCTGCCAAAGAGCTAATTAACTAAAACCTAAGTACTGAATCAACTTAAAAAATATATTTTCAAGTTTTATTTAATAAGAAAAAATTATACATGGAGAACAATGCATTTCACATACACCTGTGATCTTTAAACCCCTTGAATCCGGTAAAAACAGGAAAAGATAGAACACACCTTGTAATGTTTCTTTCCTTCTGAATTGCCTCTACATCAGGAGGTAGTGGAGGAGGATAAGGCACATCTTTGTTGTACTGAGAAATTTGACCACACAGGATGATGTGACTGTTTTTATTCATCTGTTCAGATAAAATAGGTGATGATACCCTAAGATATATGCCTTTCCCATATATGACTTTATGGCTGTCTCAAAGAAAGCCTCCTTGACCACTGAATTTAATCCTTTAGTGCCAATTAATATATTTCATTTTAAAGATTTACCCAGTATATGTATTTAAGAGTTTTAATAGGCTAGAAAATAAGTCCACTTCCAAGGAATTAGAGGTAAATGAGAATTTGGTAATCAGCAAAAGAATTACATTAATTGTTGCTGTCGTTGTTGTTGCTACTTTTAATAGTAGCAGTTGCAGAGTATTTCTTTGTATTTAAATAATTTAACCTCAATTGCAAATAATTTTACCTATATTAAAGGACAATGCAGTGTTAATAGCTGATGTTCACATTTTATAACATTGTCAATAAAAATAGGTAAATCCCTAATGAAAATCCATTCCCTACCCAAAGTCAGGGGCCATGGCTGAGTTGGTTCATGGTGAGTTAGGAGTCAGAACTTCACCATTTGAACAATACAACTGTACGTTTCACAAAAATTAACTGCAGGTGAAAAATATAATAATGCTAGCAAAGAACTGAAACTGACATTCATAGTGCAAATCTGTAAGTAAGTGGAAGTAGGTATATCAGCAAGCTCTTCTGTTTCACTTAATTACAGTTGATCACTTGATCATCATTAGTTTCTTTTTCTCAATAAACCCAACAATCTTATACAGTTTTTTCTATCTCTTAGTATCAGGTAAAAATATATCACATCAGATAAAATATAGCATTCAAATTTATAAGAAACAAATCAACAAACTACCTGACTTATCACTGTATTACTTATGTCACCGCCAACATTGTCAAAGTAAACATCCACACCAGCTGGGCATAGTTTCCGGAGCTGTTCTGCTACATTCTCTTTTTTATAATTAATTGCAGCATCAAAGCCCAGTTCTGAGGTCAAAAGGAGGCACTTCTCATGTGTTCCACAAATTCCCACCACTCGGGAACAGCCCATCAAGTGACCAATCTAGGGGGGAAATTTTTGAAAATTAAACAACTTTCTATGTCATATTTACATTTTAAAATGTGAAAGCATACAAGATATTATAAGTATATGAGAGTGTTCATCACAATTTAGGTTAGATTACAGGGCTTTCAGCTAAAAGTAATTTGAAATCAAAAGAACAGAAAACAGATATAATGCCATTAAAAACATTAAGATTGAATAAAATTCGACTTAGTTTGAATGTTAAATTTCAGAATTTAAAGCTAATTTCATAAAAAGAATAGTCAGATCCCAAACATCACTAACTTGCAATTTAATATTTTTCAGTGGGATGGATCTTGAGCATATAGTATTATGTTAAGTGAAATAAGTCAGATAGAAAAGTGAAGAATGTGATTTCACTCATGTGGGATATATCCCACTCATGTGGGATATAAAGCAAAAAGCAACAAATGAACAAACAGAAAATTCATAGACACAACAGAATGGTGGTTACTAGAAGGAAAAGAAGGTAAGGGGAGGACAAGGAGGGTAAAGGGGGTCAAGTATATGGTGACAGAAGGAGACTAGACCAGGTGGTGAGTGCACAACAGAGTACACAGATGTCATATAATAAAGTTGTACACCTGAAATTTATATAATGTTATTAAACAATGTCACTCCAATAAATTAAATTTTTTTAAAGTTTTAAAATATTTTTCAGTCCTGTGAGTAAAATCACTACTAAGATAAAATATTTTATTTCAGAGGTTTCATACTATAAAGGCTATTATTCATAAAAACAATCTTATATAATAAAGAGCTAATATACAAATGGTTGTCACACCCTCACGGCATCATGCGTCTGTTGGCTCAGCCGCTCAACACTGTACTTTTCAGAGGAATGGGGACCAGCCAGGCACAGATGAGCTCGTGAGAGAGGAATGGGCCCAGCAGGCCGCAGCCCCGGAGGAGGACCAACCACCCTTCCCGGGGTTCCGGGGGCCAGCGCTGCGGCCCAGGAGAAGCCGCCTGCCCAGGGTCCCCTGTAGCTGTGACCGGTCCAGGCGAATCCGGCCTGGGTCCTGGGTCCTGTGGCTGGCCAGAGAAGGGAATCCTGGGTCCCGGGTGCGGGGCAATCAGGCAGGCAGAGGCGGTTAGGGGCAATCAGGCAGACAGAGGTAGTTAGGGGCAATCAGCCAGGCAGGCAGAGGGGTTAGGGGAGATCAGGCAGGCAGGCGAGCGGTTAGGAACCAGCATCCCTGGATTGTGAGAGGCAGTCGGACATCCCCTGAGGTATCCCGGATTGGAGAGGGTGCAGGCTGGGCTGAGGGACTCCCTCCCCCCGCCCATGTATGAATTTCATGCACCAGACCTCTAGTGCATTTTATAAAATTCTATCATAATATTTACTGTATTTGAAGACTTTTTTTTATACAATATGTGTTTTTTTTTGTTAATCCTCACCCGAGGATATTTTTTCCATTGATTTTAGAGAGAGAGGAAAGGAGAAGGAGAGACGGAGACAGAGAGAAACATCAGAAGCATCAATGTACGAGAGACACATCAATTGGTTGCCTCCTGCACTGGCCAGGGATTAAGTCTGCAACTGAGGTATATGCCCTTAACCAGAATAGAACACACAAACCTTCAGTCTGCAGGCTGAAATTCTAACCACTGAGCAAAACTGGCTAGGGCGAGTTTGTTTTTTATTTTTAGTTCATGAATTCCACATAGGTACTTTGATTTTCTTCCTTGGATCATTCTAGCATTTCCTGTGTCTATTTTTGGTTAACAGAGAACAAGATACAAAAATCTACAACATTTTTCATATTATTATAAAGACAGTCTAAGCAGGTAATAATATCATTTCTACCAGAAATGTGCAAAATAATCATAAATTTGTTCAATTTTATATTTTAAATGATCCTATATAATAAAAGGATAATATGCAAATCGACCAAACGGCAGAACGACCGGTCGCTATGATGCACACTGACCACCAGGGGGCAGACGCTCAACACAGGAGCTGCCCCCTGGTGATCAGTGCGCTCCCAAAGGGGTAGCGCAACTCAGCCAGAAGCCAAGCTCACGGCTGGTGAGTACAGCGGTGGTGGCGGGAGCCTCTCCCATCTCTGCAGCAGTGCTAAGGATGTCAGACCGATGGCTTAGGCCCGCTCCCCATGGGCTCCACAACTGCGAAAGAGCGCAGGCTGGGCTGAGGGACCTCCCCCATTCCAGTGCACGAATGTCATGCACCAGGTCTCTAGTATATATATATATATATGTGTGTGTCCAGAGATTCAATTATGACTATGTTTTTAGAAAATCAAATGATTCTCAGAAATTATTACCTGCCCAGCCAAGGATCCACAAGCACCAGCAGCCCCACTAACAACCATTGTCTGATTAGATCCAGGAGTTATATGACCTTTTTCCTGTATTCCAATCAAGGAAGTTAAACCAGGCATACCAATAGCTCCAAGAAAATATGAAATATGTCCATTCACGAGTTGCGGGTCTACCTAAAATGAAATATATATCTTTTATTTGTATTTATTTATTTTGTCTAAATATATATCTTTTAAAAAGAAAACTAGGAATCCCAGTTTTAAGTCAACAAGGTAGAAACAACCTGTTATAGGCTGAATCATGTCTTCCTGTGGACAAAAAAAAGGGTGTCTACAGAAAGTAACCTCCCAGGGTGATCTGATCATAAATTCCTAACAGGGCAGGTCTTGGTGGGTAGTCACTCCCCAGGCATATAACTTCTTTAGTAAAAGGTTTATTTTTGCCTTAAGCAAGCCTATCTTAGGTTACCATTCTTGTTAACTATCCTGTAATCCAGTTGCTGCCTTGCTTTCTCCCTCCTTCATGTAATCTTCCTTATGTTTTCTTAATTTCAAAATGTATAAAAGAACATGTAAAACTCATTCTCCAGAATATCTAAGATCTTTTTTTTTTTTTTTTTTTTTTAAATATATTTTATTGATTTTTTTACAGAGAGGAAGGGAGAGGGATAGCAAGTTAGAAACAATGATGAGAGAGAAACATGGATTCAGCTGCCTCTTGCACGCCCCCTACTGGGGATGTGCCCGCAACCCAGGTACATGCCCTTGACTAGAATCGAACCTGGGACCCTTGAGTCCGCAGGCCGACGCTCTATCCGCTGAGCCAAACCAGCTAGGGCAATATCTAAGATCTTGCTTCCCAGCAATTGTCATCAGTTTGGCTCAAATACATTTTTTAAAATATATTTTTATTGATTTTAGAGAGGAAGGGAGAGGAAGAGAGAGACAGAAACATCAATGATGAGAGAGAAACCTTGATCGGCTGCCTCCTGCACACCCCACACTGTACATCTGCAACCTGGACATGTGCCCTGACCGGGAATTGAACCATGACCCCCTGGTTCATAGGTCGATGCTCAACCACTGAGCCACGCCAGCCAGGCTCAAATAAATTCTTATAAAAATTTTCTAGTCCCGGCCACGTGGCTCAGTGGTTGAGCATCGACCTATGAACCAGGAAGTCACGGTTCGATCTCCTGGGCAGGGCACATGCCCGGGTCCCAGGCTCAATCCCCACTGTGGGGTGTGCAGCTGATCAATGATTCTCTCTCATGTTTTTCTCCTTCTCCCTTCCTCTCTAAATCAATAAAAATATATTTTTTTAAAAATTCTCTACTGATTTGGACATTTCTTACATTGGCACTCCTAAAATTCATATGTTGAATACTTAACCCTTAATGTGACTACACAGGGGTGACAAAGGTAGGTTTACAGTTGTAAGTATGCGAAACACAGAGTTTATTCTTGTATTATTATTTTTTAAGTATTATGCTGTTTTCCATACTCATAACTATAAACCTACTTTTGCCCCAACCTGTACATGAAGCTGCCAGTTTTTGCAGGTCAAAACAGAAAAATATTGGTAATTTCACATGGTTCAACCTAACAGAAACCAAACTCAAGATTTCTAACACAAGATGGAATTTCAAGCCCAAACCAAAGGAATTTCTTAAGTGTCAATTTCTCAGGAAACTTTAAAGCATACGACTACAAGGGGCCTTTGGTTCTTAGTATAAAATATTTTTTGATGCTTATAGTTCAGGTTTTATTTTATATCTGTAAAATTTGAGAAATAAATTAAATATGGAAAACACCACCACTCACTGATAATCTAAGAACTTTCATATATAGTTACAGACAATAGTGGAAAAGGAACAAAGGCTTTCCACATTTTTGCAGATATCTAAAAGAAAATGTATGCTCCCCACCTCCCCACCCCCTTATCAAACAACTGAAGACCAAAGGTACAAAATAAGAATTACAGTGGAGAAAAATACTTTTATATTATACATCACCTTTTCTAGGCTATTTCCATCCAGAATAGCCTTGGTTTGCCAGGGCCAGTAGAAAGAAGTCACGAACTCGCCTTTAGTAAAATTTGTGTGTTTGCTTTCTTCTATAATCCCAATACCTCCTCCGTCAACCACTTGAGACAACTGCCAAGGTGCTAAATAATCAGACCCAGAGTCTTCATTCATTTTACAGCGCTAAAAAAGAAAACACTGATTAGCATAATTCGGTCTAATAATACTGAACCAGTTTACTAATTTATCTAGTGACCTAAGGAAAGGCATATAAGTAACGTTAAGTACAGTGTTAATCAAAAAATAAAATTTATCTTAATTTCTATCTTCCTTTCAGTTTTTTATTCTGGAAAAAAAATTGTATCCTCTCTCTAACAAGTAAAGAAGTGCAACTCAAAAGAAATTTAAGTATATTCTAAAGTGATGATAGTTCCACAATTTTGTGAATAGACTAAAAACCATGAATTGTACATTTAAATGTGTGAATTGTATGATACGTGTATTATATTTCAATAAAGCTGTTAAAAATTTTAAACAATTACTTGAATATATTTAAGTAATGTTACAGACATTATACTAACAAAATTAATTCAAACTACTGTGCCAGTGGTTTCAATGGATTTTGGCAAATTAAGTATACTTACATGTTGATGACAATATTATGAAACTGTCTACTTTTTATAGAAAACAAATTAGTATCATGTAGACCAGTGGTTCTCAACCTTCCTAATGCCGCGACCCTTTAATACAGTTCCTCATGTTGTGGTGACCCCCAACCATAAAATTATTTTCGTTGCTACTTCATAACTGTAGTTTTGCTACTGTTATGAATCGTAATGTAAATATCTGATATGCAGGATGTATTTTCATTGTTAAACAAATTGAAAATAATTAAAGCATAGTGATTAATCACCAAAACAATATGTAATTATATATGTGTTTTCCGATGGTCTTAGCGACCCCTGTGAAAGGGTCGTTCGACCCCCAAAGGGGTCTCGACCACAGGTTGAGAACCGCTGATATAGACCATAATGGTACTCATTTCTTTTGGCCTAGCAATTCCACTTCCCCAATGGAAATAACACATACAACAATGAAACTATTTTTTATTTTTATTGATTTCAGAGTGGGAGGGAGAGGGAAGGAGAGGGAGGGAGAGATAGAAACATCAATGATTAGAGTGAATCATTGATCTGCTGCTTCCTGCATGCCCCCTATGAGAGATCAAGCTCGAAACCCAGACATGTGCTCTGACTGGGAATTGAACTGTTACCTCCAAGTTCATAGGTCAACACTCAACCACTGAGCAACACCAGCCGGGCAAAACTATTTTTATACAGTTGTTTATCACCATCCCTTCTGAACTCCTCTTCCTAATTTCTAATACTACCTATTCCCAAAACATTTTTAAGCTTTCCCCAATTGTTCAATTTCCCACAATAAAACAATGATAGGGAAAACTTCAGACCAAGCACTACATCATACCCCTAACCTCAGGTGGATGTTCTCTTTATTCAGCCAAGAAAAAATGCCACAATGACACCACAGCCTCCCATGAAACTATGCTAAAGACATCCTGGAAATTAGTGAAGGCTCTCTTCTTCTCTGTGGCTCACTCTTGCCTCTCTCATGAAGCCAAGAATTGGAGGCCTACAGTGTGGTCCAGGAGATGGAAAAGATGGAAACACTGCTTGATTAAGGGTGGTCTAGTTCAGTCAGAAAAGACCAAATGGGAATTGAAGCAGAAGCTTCTATAGGTACATGCTACACTTCTGCTCCTGTGTCCCTCCCATGTATTTTTGGAAAGCAAGTGCAGCAGCCATTGGCTATTGGCCAGACCAAGGACCTGACTCAAACAAGGCTAAGAGAAAAACAGAACCACCAATGTAATGGTATTTCCACTAGTTTTTCATATGAAGATATGTATATAAAGTCACTTAAATATGAAATCAAAATAGTATACACACATTAAATACAACCATGTAAAATACTGTACACACATGGTGATTGAAATTAGTTGTGATTTTGGAATGATATAAAATTGCAATGATTTAATGTTCATTAGATTCCTTTTTTTTTTTTCATTTAAAGTTGTTTATGTTCTTTTTTTTTATAGAACAATGTCTAGTGAAGGCAAGTGATTAATTATAATTCCCAAGTGGAGTGGCACACCGTCCCATGCTGGGCCACCTGGGGAAAGAAGTGAGTTCCCTCCTTCCTTCCTTTAATTAATACTTAATAAGCACCATGCTAGTCCTTGGAGATGGAGTGGTAAATAAGATCTTACAAACTGGATAAATTTGAGAGAATTTCCAATCCTAATTTACTATCTTCAAGCTTTACTTACTACTGGGAAGTAGTCTGGACATTTGGAAGAAACTGATAACCACATGTGCTACTATAATGGAAATCTTCCTTCTATAACATTCCTTAATAACACTAGTGAATAAAAACAAAGGCAATCTGTAGTTCACAGGTATCAAAATATAATTGCTCAAATATTCGTTAATCATGAGGATTGCTCAATAAAATTTAGATGCAGCATTAAATAATATAAAAGTAAAATTAATTTTCACCAAGTCACAAAATCCTGATTCTTACCATGTAAGGATCCACAGAAAGGTAAAGAGTTCTGACTTGTACTTGTCCTTCATTGATATGATCTGGTAAATTTACTTCTTCTACTCGGAAATTTTCTGCCACTGGATTACCATTTTTCCCTAAAATATTAGGTAAAAATGTAAAGTAAAAAACTCATTGTCCTATATAATTATTTACTATTCTTTAAAAGGTCACTCTAGGTTCCAGAGCACTGTCTTTTAACTTGGGCATGAATAAATCTATATTATTTTGTAATTTCTCTGTAACTCAATATAAATTCTTTAAGTAGTTTTACTTGCTCTTCATTTTCTCCAAAAAGATCCTTTGGAATATTGCTGTCAACTTTAAGATTTCTTTTTTAAGATGACTACAGGTAAATCACCTCATTTGTTTTAACATTTAGGAAGATTTCAAAAATGAAAAATCATAGCCAGCTTTTTTTAAATACTAGAAGCCCGGTGCACGACATTCGTGTACTGGAGGGGGAGAGGGGTCCCTCAGCCTGGCCTGCACCCACTCACAGTCCGGGACCCCTCTGGGGATGTCTGACTGGGGACATCTGCTGAGGGGTCCTTAGCGCTGCTGTGGAGGCAGGAGAGGACTCCTGCCACCGCTGCTGCACTCACCAACTACAAGCCCAGCTTCTGGCTGAGCTGCGCTCCCCCTGTGGGAGCGCACTGACCATGAGGGGGCAGCTCCTGTGTTGAGTGTCTGCCCCCTGGTGGTCAGTGCATGTCACTGCAACCGGTCGTTCTGCGGTTTGGTTGATTTGCATATTAGCCTTTTATTACATAGGATTATGAAAAGGCAACAAAACCAAGGCAGCATGAGCCCAAACCTCTCAGGTTACTTCCATACCTGTTTCTATGACTCAGGTTGCGAGATCAGCACAGACATAAGTCAGTGCTGTTCACATCAAAAGAAAAGCAAATTTTAAGAACCAATGATACATATTATAAATAAAAAACAAAAGCCACATATTTGTAATATAATCTTTTAAATAATAATTCTGAAATACCTTATTTTTTCAACAAATGGCCTTGATATCACTTGAGAAACTGAATAGTACATTGTTTAAAGAATTTATTCTAATATCTCTGCTACTATTAATATCTTCCTACCTCAGTTTACCACATTGACATCATATGGATACTTTTGTTCCTCCATTTGCATTAATAATTATCAAAGACCATAGCTTTTCATTCACCACAGATAAATACATACCAGGTCGGGAATTCAGTACCACTCTTTGTACAATCATCACCTTGTTTGCACAGGGATCTCACAAGATTTCTGTATAAAGTAATTCCTATTGATAGAAAACATTTTAAATCACAAGGAAGTTTGAAAATATTAAACAATTTAAAAATAAGAAAGCACATTTGTGGGGAGAAGACAAATCATATTTAGGATCCAGAAAAGTTATAGTTCCCTGTCAGAGTTTGTCTCCTAAAACAAATATATGAAGAAGAACAAGTTTGTTGAAGACTGAATGGATAGAATGTTTTTGGCCTCATAATGCAAACACATTCATCTTCATACCATCATTAGTAAGCCTCCTACTGCGGCTTGATTAAAAGGAAACAGCAAGGCCCTGGCCGGTTTGGCTCAGTGGATAGAGCGTCGGCCTGCGGACTCAAGGGTCCCGGGTTCGATTCCAGCCAAGGGCATGTACCTTGGTTGCGGGCACATCTCCAATAGGGGGTGTGCGGAGGCAGCTGATCGATGTTTCTCTCTCATTGATGTTTCTAGCTCTCTATCCCTCTCCCTCTCCTCTCTGTAAAAAATCAATAATATATTAAAATAAAATAAAATGAAACAGCACGATATATTCCTCCAGAGCTGGCCAGGTAATCCTTTGAGTCTTCTTGTTTCCTCCTCCCTCCTGCCAAGACCCTTCCCTTCTCAGGGACCTCGCCTTCCTCTTGGGCTCCCACTACCCATCACTCATGGAAACGACTAGGCATCGGCACCCGCAGCCCAGAATTTCAAGCTGACTTCCCAGACCGTAAGCACCAGGAGGACAGGGATTTGTATCCGTTGTTCAAAGATTTATGTCCAACCCCTATGCCTGGCACATGGTAGATACTCAAAAAAATGTGTTAAATGAACATCTCGGAGGCACCTTGGACACAAGTATGTCCCATCCTGAGGTTGCTTACTCCCCACAATTGTTTTTTAAAAAGACCTGCTTCTGCCCCTCCAGCATTCTTTATTCTAAGTCCTCGGTATAACGCCAGTAGCTCCAGGAGGAAGCCTCGAGGCCACCCTGGCCCCCAGATCTTCCCGCACCCCGACGGCCCGACCCAACGGCAGGTCCCCGGGTCCCAGCGGCCGCGACAGACCCGCAGGCCGCCTCCGCTCCGCACTCACCGCCACCGAGCTCCGGAGGAAATATCGCGTGGTTTGCGGCGCCGAGAGGGGCTGGCTGCGCGACTTCATCGCTCCGACCGCAGTACGCAGGCGCACGGCTAGACCTTTGCTCCAGGTCCTCCCAGGGAGGTGAGAGGCGGGGGAGGTGCGGAGCAAGGACAGTCACGAGTCCAGGCAAAGTGTATTAATAAATTAGCCGGACTGGCCGCCCCTACTACCTGTCCACAAAGAGCAAATCGTGAGTTCACTTACTCGTTTGATGGATTCCTCCCTGAGCCTTGGACTGGAAAATTGCAGTGAGAGAGGGGCCGTCAAGCCCACCCCTCGTGTTATGGATGGAGAAACAGGTTCCGAGACCTGATATGATTGGACCACCCACCTTTCAGCCGGTGGTTGGGCGGGTGGTGGCAGTGCCGTGATTAAACCCGGCTCTGTAAGACTGCTGGCCCCGGGCCCTTTCCCATTGCTTTAAAGCAAGGCTGCCTTTTCTTTCTCAAAGAATCCCAAATTCCTCAAAGATGGATTACCCGGTGTGGGAGACTTCTCAGTTTCATTAATTATTAATTGTTTCCTTTTGTGCTCAAGTGGGTTGAGCAAGGCTTATTCCCAGGACAGCTTTGGAACCCCAGGGAACCTAAAACAGACTACCCTGATTAGGCAGGTGTAAAGAATTGCTTTTTACATTGCATTCATGTCAGAGCTAATAGTGCAGCACAAATTGTGGTATTCAGTAGCTGAAAAACAACTGGAATGGTGAGCAAGGGGGTAAGAATCATTAAACAAGTTGAAGCTCTTAGTAGCTTCACCTCTGAAATTTTTACTTCTTTGAGAAAATTTCAGGAAAGAAGTAGGATTATACTACCTTGCAAGTTCCTCTAGGCCAGATCTTATTTCTTTTATCAGTCTTGTACAAGTAGATCTTCAGTACCTTTTGTTGTGATAACTTGAGCCAACTGATGAAAAAGAAATGCTCAGACTAAAAGTAACAGAGGAAAATAAAGGTAGTCTAAAATTTTGTTTTAGAACTTGATCTTAAAAGAAACAATCTTTCAAAGTAGAACAGAAACTGCAATATTAAATTAGTTTTGACTCTTGATTCTAGGGCCTGAGAACTCCTTGTATCAAGTGTGATTTTTCTTCCCAGAATGAATTCCCATTCCAAAAAAAAGCCAAAAAATGAGCATCATGCGGTATTTGTGACTTCAGGAGAGGAGAGAAACTTACCCAGAACTACCTAGCTAACCTCTCTCAAATTCCTAAACCTCAGAAGAAACTGTGTGAGATAATAATTTGTTGTGTTAAGCTGCTAAATTTTGGGGTAGCTGATTATGCAGTAATAAATAGCTAATATGCACACTAAAGAAGAATTAGTGTTCCTTGGAGAAATAATCTGATTCCAGATGAGCCTGGAACATCTATTTTTGCTGGAAATTAAGGAAGTTTTCAAAAAAACGATGAGGCATATCACAGGGACACAAAAGCCAGCTTGAAGAGGATCCTACTAGCTAACTCTGGAACAACTTGAACACCAAAATAATTATGGTAATGATTTATAAACATTAAAAAAATGTTTATACCATGAATATATACCAATAATAGCAGGTAGAATGGAGGGTTTTTGCTTACAGTTGAACAATGTGGGTTTGAACTGTGTAGGTCAGGGGTGGGCAACCTTTTTGTGAGTGCGTGCCAAAACCAGCAAAATCTCTGACTCAAAATTCTTCTGCGTGTCAACCCTAATTTTTTTAGAACATGTTACGCCTACTTGATATCTCTTAAGGTGTACGTATGTGAAGAACCTGGAAGAAATAATAAAATTCATTCGAGTGACAAAAACACAGTATATGATGATGAAAAATACATTTATTTTTTAATGTATACCTGTACACTGATAGTCCGACAGAAAACTTTATGACTCCGTTTGATATTATCAGTGGGACTTTTGCTGCTGCATCACTGATGACAGAGATTTTACATCAGGTTTATATTTCGTGACCTTCAGAGATATGCACGAGCTACTACTTTCATCCGTCAGGCTACTCCTTTTACGAAACTTAACAAAATTCATCACTGAGAACAAAGATTCACAAGCGTATGTGGATGAAAACATGGAGAGTAACGCTGTTGCAAAGTTTTTTAAACAGAAAAATTTTTCTGGAATGGCATTCCAAGTCCTCAATAGTTCATTTTCAACACTTCTCTCTGGTACTCCTGTCTCTAATCGCTTTTTTTCAATGTTTTCCAAGTCAACTCTAAGGTCAATCAATTTCTGCTTCCAAATTGAGCTACTTTGAAATTCAATCAACTGCATTTCAAAGTCAGCCATGTCTATCCATGAAAACATTTGTAAGTTTAGTTCCTCCAGTTTCATGCTGTCTGGAAACCTCATGAATTTTGCTGTCTCTTCCAGTTCTCTGAATTTCGCAAATCTTGAGAAGAACTGCTCAATAGTTGACTCGATGATGTTTAAAAACAGCTTTTGAAGGCTTTGACAGTCTGTTCTGTCATCTTTTGGGAGGTCTTTGATGTGCCTCTTGAGGTTGGGAAATATCTAAATCTCTCACCATCCACATCCCTCTTAAAGACTTCGGTTTCTTTTTCAAAAGCCTTATGTAACCAGAGATCGAACCTGCAACCTTGGCATATCAGGATGATGCTCTAACCAACTAAGCTGCCTGGCCAGAGCTGGATGTTTCTTATATTATTCTATAAACTTTCTGTATTTATAAAATATCTCATGATTGAAAAAAAACAACATTAATACCAGCTATATTGTTTTAAGGAGGACAAAAGAGTTACATGTCGCCCTAGCTGGTTTGGCTCAATGGGTAGAGCGTTGGCCTGCGGACTGAAGGGTCCCAGGTTCGATTCCAGCCAAGGGCACATGCCTGGGCTGCGGGCTCGATCCCCAGTAAGGGGCGTGCAGGAGGCAGCCGATCAATGATTCTCTCCATCATTGATGTTTCTATCTCTCTCTCCCTCTCCCTTCCTCTCTAAGATCAATAAAATATATTTTTTTAAAAGGGGGGGTTACATGTCAAAGAAAAGGATCAGGTTGTCTTTTGAAGCACACAAGCATCTAAAGAACAGATTTTTATTCCACTCTATGGTCTTATCTAAGGAACTCAGAGACTTTATATGGTTAATGTGCTTTGTATGGTTTTTGTTAAAAACCCTTTATTTTTCTTAAACTTTTTCAGAGAAAAACTAAGACCTCACACAGTGAATCATTGTGTTGGAAGACAAGTTGAGGGATCTATTAGTGTCAACAGAAATTGTGAAAGACTTTAAAGTGGGTACTAAAGGTTACTGGGTGTCCAATCTAGCAGATTAAGTGTGCTTTCACTGACTTTGAGCTATTTTACAACTCTGTGTTGCAAAAAACCTGATAGTAGGCTCTAGCCGGTTTGGCTCAGTGGACAGAGTGTCGGCCTGAGGACTGAGGGATCCTGGGTTCGGTTCCAGTCAAGGGCACGTGCCCAGGTTGCGGGCTCAATCCCTAGTAGGGGGTGTGCAGGAGGCAGCCAATCAATGATTCTCTCTCATTGATGTTTCTATCTCTCTCTCCCTCTCCCTTCCTCTCTGAAATCAATAAAAATATAAAAAAACAAAAACCTGACAGTAGTACAAATGATTCTTGTCCATAGAAATACAAATGCAAATTGTTCTTGAAGTACAATTGATCTCTCTTCCCCTCACCCAAGAAACCAGTGTTGTGTCTGTTAATCAAATGAATTGCAGCACTGTTAATTGTCTATATATGTTTCTGCTTCTTTGGATTATCTTTTGAATCAGTTGTAATATCTTACTAGTTCCCTCCTTCATTAATGAGTTACATAAAATATTGGACACATGCTAAGTTTGTATTTGTATAAGTCATAACTTTACTTTAAAAAATAATTAGCCTTTAATAGAAGGGAAGAGTGCATGTTCATCTCATTTCTGCCAGGCCACACATATTGCACAATACAGGAGGCGGCTCCTCCCTGGCTGTAGACCTGGCCCCTTGGGACTACTTAGTTCTATTATTTCTCTCCTGCTCTTTTCTTCTTGCTCCTCCATGTTAAATACTTTTTTATAAATCTATTTTTAAACCTTGGTTCCTGAACAACTGGAAAGATAACTAAGCAAGTAATATATAATGTTTTATGTGTGATTAAGGCCATCTCTACACGCACTACATGATATAAAAAATTGAAGTACTTAAGGTGTTTAAATCAAACCCATTTTCCAGCTTCTCATCTCCAACCTCCCTTCTCCCAAACACCATATTTGCCTTAACATTGTACACACACTATATATACTTGTCAAATTAATAAACAAATGAGTAGATGCCTTTGTGTGCTTAACACCATGGTAAGTGCTAGTAATATATCATACGTAAGCGAGAGTCCCTGACCCAGGGAAGTTTGTAATCCAGTTGGGAAGACAGGGAAGAACAGTATATGGAGGATATAATAAATACCCAAAACAGTGAGGTTGGCAATAAATGCTTCATTCATTGATCCAGTGAGCAAATAATTATTAATTGTCCATTACATGCAAGCATTGTGGTATACAGTGGTGAACAAGATCAGCACAGACCCTCCCTTCACCAAGCTTAGTCTAGAAGGGACTGGGATAAATAATCAGGTAGTTATAATACTGCATTGCTAGGGCTACAAGAAGGGAACCGTAATTAAGATTTAGAAAGAATTTGTAATCCTCATAACATGAGCCCATACCATTACCATGGCCCATTTCATTTAATCTTGATGTTTTCTTGACTAGATTGGTTTTATATTTTGACATGAATTAGTATGCAGTGCTATTGTTAAATAGAGTGTTGAATTTCACTCCCCAGAAAGTTTTCTCCTTCAGTAATGGAAAAACAAAGCATATGTTATTGCAGTAATGACACCCTCACTTCTGATCTTGTCGTTTCACAAGAATCTTAAAACAGGAGTTCAGCTTAGGA